AAAGAAAAAAAGAAAGAAAGAGAGAAAAGAAAGAAAAAAGACTACAGCACAGTTTTTATTAGAATGATTACTTATAAACCTGTTTAGGACCAGGGATATAGCTCAGTGGTACAAGCTCCTCGCTGGCCAAGTGCTAGATCCCGAGTTTGATTCCTGGTACCAAAACCCCCAAAACAACAACAACAACAACAAAGCCTATTTAATTAGCTGTTGAACATAAAATCGCTTAATCATGTCTGAACCTGATCTGGTTTTTATCATGATGATTTACCTTTTTATTATCATCCAGGACTGTGTTCATACTCTCTATCCACAAAGTGTCTATAGGACCATCAAAGACAACCCATTTTCGGTCAGGCGTTTCTGATAAGGCAAATTCTCTAAAAGTATTTGCCACGATACCATCAGTCCACTGAGGAAAGAAAAGCAAGAATTTGAAAGCTCTGCTAAGTTTTAGTGGAAGAAAACCAAAAACACTTCAAATTTCTTGCTTTAACATGCACTGTCAGTAGGAGAGCTGAGAAGGTATACTGTAGATTACCTCATGAGACACTGGGTCAAACTGCCCGAAAAGCTGGCCCATAGTAATTGATTTGGGGTTCACAGTCCTGTAAATGACTTTCTCTTCCTCTCCATAGCCATATTCATTCATAAGAGTTAAAGTGTCAGCCAGCACATGCATGACTTTTGTCTTGGCAGCAAAAGGCTCTCCTACTAACATAAAACTATTAAAGAAGTAATGATATAATAAGATTCTAAAACACAATGGAAAATTATTTATACCAGAATGTAAACCTTCACCTTATGATAATTGTTATATAATTTCTAAAATTCTATGATGTTTTGTTGGACAAGACAAAAATGCATATAATTTCTAAACTGGTTGGCTTTATATCAAATTTTCCACATTACTGTCATACAATTATCTACAAAAGAGAATATTATTAAAAAAAATCTCCAAAACAAAATGACTTAGCCCATCATTCATGATGGCTATTGGTACTGAGAAGGGAGGAAGGTGTTCTTGACACAATAAAAAAGACAATATATGTCACTGGCTTGGTGGCAAATTAATAGGTTTCAGAGGCTACAAGATGAATGCTTATTGCTATGCAATGATAAAATATTTAGATCTCTTTAGGTAACCTGGAAAACAAATATACATAGTGAAATTAGAATTTTAGGGTAACTCTTGTAGGGTAACTCATTGGATACGTTGTGTGAAAGAAACAAACCTTTGCTCTGTAAACTACTGGGAGGTGGAGAGTTGTTTACTCTCTATTCTACCTAGTAAAGTTCTTTTTCTTTTTCTTTATGCATTTTATTGTTTTAAAATTTTAAAGTAGCATCAAATGATGGCGGATAATCTACAACCTTACCCATGTCTAACGATCATCATTTCATAGGTCTGGATCATTTTTTCAAGAAAAAATTTCACAGGCTGCAGATTTCGTGTGTTGCAGGCTTCATGGGCACATTTTAAAAAGTCCTGAAATTAAAAAGATGGAATGCATTTTTACACAACAGCATTTAATGCACATCATGCTAGAGTTTTCTTTTCTTTCTTTTTCTTTTTCTTTTTTTTTTTTTTTTGTGTGGAACCAGGGATTCAACTCAGGCCCTTGCGCTTTATTTTTCAAATTAGAGGAAGAACAAATTGAAAGTTATTAATGATCACTGTATCATAACGTGGCTTCACAGCATCATGTTGAAAAAAACACCCTCTTTTTTTAATTAACTATTGGTATATTTTAGTTACACATAATGATCACATTCATTATTGGGAATTTGTATCTGTACATGATATCTTACTTGTTTTTCCATTCCCCTATCCTTCCTTCAATTTCTTTTACCCTCCTAAAAATAACTCTTTTTAATAGTGCTTCCTAGAATTCTATTTTTGGTTAGGATATAAAAGAACATACCAAAAAGCCTTTATACTATAGTAAAAAGAAATATTTAGGACAAGGTCTATAGGGTCTCACTATGTAGATCAGACTCATAGTGATTCTCCTGTTTTCAGTCTCCCAAGTGCAGGGATTACAGACGCGCACCACCACACCCAGTCTCAATTGCTGCCTCAGCGCACCCCACGAATAAGGCTGGCACAGCATGCCGGGGATTGAACACCAGCACTGCGCTCTACCTAAGCAGGTGCTGTAGTCTGCTGAGCTATCAGGCTGACTCTCTAAATAGAAATAAATAATGAAGCTAAAAATCATTTTTAAAAAAATGTTTGAAGGGGCTGGGGAGATGGCTCAGTAGAATAAGTGCTTGCCTGCCAAGCGCAAGGGCCTGAGTTCAATCCCCAGTTCCGCAAAAAAAAAAAAAAAAAAATGCACTGTCAGTAGGAGAGCTGAGAAGGTATACTGTAGATTACCTCATGGTGTGGAGGCACATGCCTGTAATCCTAGCACTTGAGAGGCAGAGGCAGGAGAGTTGCTGCAAATTCAAGGTCAGCACGGGCTACATAGTGAGACCAGGTACAGGCTGGCATTGAGCTTACTCTGTGACCCAGGCTGGCCCCAAACTTGTGGAAACCCCCTTACCTGAGTACTGGGATTACTAGTATGTGTGACTTTACACCTGGCCATTATTAAAAATCCAAAGGTATAGAAGAACTTTGAATACAAATAAGTCTTAAGGAACTTAACTTCAGAAAGGGGTAAGCTTTTCCTAGGCAAGCTCAGCTATAACTGCTTTCATTCCTGGGAACATGTTCTAAATCTGGACATGGTAGACATTCATTTGGGCCTACTACAGATAGAGGGGCTTTGTTAAAATAAGGAGAAACCAACAAATTTTAATGTTTATATGGCTGACATAATACAGTTGAACCTGGAGGAACCCGAAATGTCCAGTTGGTTCTCACTGCTCATTTTGTTTGTTTGTGTTTTACTCAGTTTGTCATGACACAAAAGACCAAAGGTCCACCTAGAAAGAACAGAGAATTTCTTTAGGCTTAGGATGCTTAGATCCTAAAATAACTGCTGGCAAGACAGGCCTGTAATATAACAGGAAAACTGTCACTCCAAAGACGTTTGAAATCAAAAGTAAAGTATAGTTCAATGACACTACAATAAAACTCCAACAACAGATTGAGTTGATCAACAATTCACTGGAGTTACCCAAGACAGGATAATACATGGTTTTTTTGTACAAACCTGGTTAGCCTCTAAAATTATTTCACATAATTTAATGTCTACAATAAAATCAAGATATACAAATCTTTTTTATGAGCATAATATATTTATTGAGGGAAAGAAAGCTCGTGTCTGAGAGAGGGACAGGAGGGGGGCCCGAGTGGTTAGTCCCCCAAGACATATAAGTCTTAAGAAGTAGCTAAGTACTAAGAGAAGAAAGAGTAACTAAAAACAAGCTCACAGATGATTGATATATCATGATTAGCAGAATTTTTTGTGTATGAATTTTGTTTTCTTTAATAATTTTACTGAGAAAAAAATAGCAATGAAACAGTTTCAAAACCAATTACTAGCACAGTTTCAATAATTAATACATTGCATATTGTTGTCTTAGTGGTTATTCATTGTACAAGATGCAGACATGATATCCTGTCCACAGACACTATTAGAATAAATCTCTGTATTCATTGAATTAAGAGAAGCTGTATATCTATCCTAACTATTTTGAGTACACAGATACAAAATGGTCGTTCAATTTTATCCCTCTTTTAACACTTGAAACAAAACACTTTGTGTGGTGCTGGGAACCAAAGCCAGACCATCATGCCTATCAGGCAAACATTCTATCCATGAGCTACACTTACAGCCCTAAAACAACTTTATAATGGAGCATAAAAGAAAATGGAGCCAAGCATGGTAGCACATGCGTATAACATCAGCACTTCAGGGAGTTGAAGAAAGCAGCGCAAACTCAACCTAGAAAACCTATCAAACTAGCAAGATTCTGCCTCAAAATAAATAAAAAATAAATAAATAGGGCTAGGTTTGTAGCTTCATGTAAAGGTCTTGGGTTGAATTCCCAATACTGGGGTGGGGGAAAAGAAAGAAACAGATGGGCTCTGGAGAGATAGCTCAGTGGTCTAAGTACCTGGCTGGCAAGTGCAAGGACCTGGGTTTGATCCCTGGTACTGCATGCCACGCTGCTGCACTGGCTGCAAGACCCTGTACCAAATAAATAAATAACAAGATAAAGAATTTCAGTAGAGAAATGGCATCTCTAAAGGGAACCAAATCAGGGGCTGGTGAGATGGCTCAGTGGTCTAAAGCATCTACTTAGAACAAGCTTAGCAAAGCACAGGGACCACGGTTCAATCCCCCAGCACCACATGCCAGCCAGCCCCGCCCCCTGGTGGGCTGAGCTGG